GTGTCATACCACTATTTTACAACACATTTAGAACATGTTAATTTAAGAAAATATTTCCAGGTAGTGCCACTGTGATGAAACAATCTGACACCGTATCTTCGATCCATGAGCGGCCAATTCTCTCTGAATTTCTCCGGCATTTGTTACTTTCTGGTGTACTTAATCTCGGAACAACAGTGCCCTCTTCCCTAGCACTTAGCAGACTGGCTCCCTGGGCATATTTGATTAACTTAAGAACGGCCATACTGGGTCAGATCAATGCTCCATCTAGCCTAGTACCCTGTCTTTCGGCCAATGCCAAGTGCCCCAGAGGGAATGAACCAAACAGGTAACCATCAAGTGATCCATCCTCTATTGCCCATTGCCAGCTTCTGGCAAACAGAGGCTAGGGACACCTCTACCCATCCTGGCTAATAGCCACTGATGGACCTATCCTCTATGAACTTATCTAGTTCTTTTTTGAACCCTATTATAGTCTTGGCCTTCACAACATCCTCTGGCAAAGAGTTCCACAGGTTGACTCTGCGTTGAGTAAAGAAATACTTCCTTTTGTTTGTTTTAAACCTGCTGCCTATTAATTTCATTGGGTGACCCCTAGTTCTTGTGTTATGAGGAGCAAATAACACTCCCTTATTTACTTTCTCCGCACCTGTCATGATTTTATACACCTCTATCATATCCTCCCTGAGTCATCTCTTTTCCAAGCTGAAAAGTCCCAGTCTTATTAATCTCTCCTCATATGGAAGCCGTTCCATACCCCTGATCGTTTTTGTTGCCCTTTTCTGAACCTTTTCCAATTCCAATGTATCTTTTTTGAGGCAGGATGACCAGATCTGCACACAGGATTCAAGACGTGGGCGTACCAGATGTGGTCTCCCCATCTCAAAAAAGATATATTGGAATTGGAAACAGCTTGTTTTACAGAGCCCAGCACTGCGATACGCTCCAGTGAACAAGCCTGCACTGGCTGGGGTTAGGCCATCATCCATGTCTACCCATCAGCTCTGGGGTTACTTGCTCTGGCAATGGGTGTATTATACCAGGGAGGTTAGGAAAGTACTGGGAGCTAATGTTACCTCATAGTTGGAGCACCAGCTGGGGATTTCAAACATGGGTTCTGTTCCTGGCTCTGTCATTGGCCAGCTGGATGACATTGGGCAGGTCACTTCACCTATCCCGTGCCTCAGTTTCCCCTCTGTACCATGGGGATTATGACACTGCTCTCCTGAGTATAGGAGCTTTGAGATCTATTGGTGAAAAACGCTGTTGAAGAGCTGGGTACTAGAGTGGGGCCCTTCCCTTGGAGAATGGGGAAGGGCGGGTGTTGGCATAAATTCGGGCCCCATCCTGGCGTAGGGGACGCCGCGTTAGCCAGAAGGCTGCTTGGCCATGGTTCCTCCCAGCTCGTGCTGTGCAGCCCAGCCCAGCCACTTATCTCTGTCTTAGCCAGCATTTTCTAGCCTAGGGCCTTACCCAGGAGCGGGGTTCCCTTTGGCCTGGGGGGATAAAGGCAGGGATTCCATTGGCAGAGCCTGTGCAAGGACCCATCTGTGTGTGGGGGGAGGGGTAACGAGGGTTCCCAGGTGGGGGTGTGGGGCTTCCTTGTGGATTGGGGGGGTGAGGATAGTGGTGAAGGATAAGGCCACTAAGCTGCTTCCCTATCTCCCCTCTCCTCCAAAGGTCCCTGCAGCAAAGTTCTGCCTGCTTTCATTTACCGCATCTGTCTCCTCCAGGCCCTGGGCTCTCTCCTGGCCCCTCTCTTCCCCACCCTCACAGGCAGAGCCCAGCACCGCAGCTGTTTCTAAAACTCGAGCTCGGGCCCATCCAGAAAAACACGTCTGAGGCTACTACAAACTCGGCATAGGCAAGGCCGTCAGCATCCGAGCTGGAGACGCAATCCCGGCTCCGAGGGCCCAGGCCCTTTCGTGTTGCCCTGCTGGTCTTTTCTCCCCTCTTGCCCTGGCCCGAGGGAGAGGAACAGACAGGGCCCTGTCTCTCCCTCGCGGCCGCTTGCTTTGTCCATATGTGTCAGGCAGAGCAGGGGTAACTGCAGTGACAGAAGAGCAGCTGGGGTTTCACGTGTCTTGGTGCCTAGATGGCCCGGTGATGAAAGTACTAGGTGGGCAGCGTGCTCAGACTGCAGCAGGAGGAGGAGCGGGAGGTGGGAAGAATCAGCCAGGGAATGGGGGGAGAAAATAAAACTGGAGAAACTAACTATAGCTCTCCCGCTAGCTCTGGCTGGAGCCTGGGTGCTCAGTGCAGGGGACCGTGCCTGCGCTGGAGAGCACACATCAAAGGAGAGACAGAGCAAAGACTCTGGTCTCCCCATAGAGACTTACGTGGGGCCCCAGTGTGAATTCCCCAGGACCCCAACGAGACGGTAAAATTTACCCCTGCACAGAGGGCTAGCCTGAGGCCACTTCCCTACAGTAAACCCTTTAATTACCTGCTAGAAAGGATGGCAAACACGCAGTTTAGGGCTCGTCTACATGGGGACATCCAGAAAAATTAATCCAAATTAACTAAAGTGTGAATTTAAAGTGGATTGGTTAAACTGCATTAAGTGCCTGTGTGGACCTTCTGATTCAGAATTAAAGTGGCCTTAATTCAGCTTAGTTTAATTCACTTTGGAAGTGAATTAAGCTAAACTGAATTAAGTCAACTTTAATTCTGAATCAGAGCATCCACATAGGGGCTTGCTGCAGTTTAACCAATCCACTTTAAATTCACACTTTAGTTAATTTGGATTAATTTTTCTGGATGTCCCCATGTAGACAAACCCATGTTTAAACCAATGGCCTTAAACAATGCTTAGGCCTCTTATTGGCCTGATGCACAGGGTAAATTCCACCTGTGGTGTTTTAACAGTAAATATGCTCAGAATAAAGTTACTTGGTTGATCAGGGTCGGATACTTATACACGGTTCACCTCTTGAAAGCTAATTCCTAATCGACTGGGCCTAAACCACAATAAGCCTGGTTTAAACCAAAATCGGGGTGTCCACACAGCCTTCTTCAGTCGTTAAAAATCACAATTCAATCAGTGCAACTTTCCAGTGTACACAAGCCCAGAGCAGTTTGGTTTTGCACAGGGTTTGGTGGTTTGGTGGCAGGATTTTCGAGCTTGAAGAAAAGCCCAAAGCATAAATTTGACAGAGATGAAATTCAGCCCCATTCTGCGGAGGTGGGTGAGCAGAGCAGTGCACTGGGGATGCCCCGGAACAACAGAAAGCTGAATCTGCTCTGGCTTTCTTTTTTGGGTGCCGTGGAAATCTTGTCTGAGAGGAAAGAGGTGGATCTATTTATAGAAGAATGGCAAATCCATTCATGGGCAAAGAATTAATTAGTGAACTCTCAGTCCTTCTTTGGAGCCAGAGCTGCAGTCCCCACACGGGTCTCTCTTGATCCTTGCAGATGGGAAGCAAGCAGCTCGCCTTGCCTAGAGGAGGGAGGGAGCCCTTTGTAATAAGTAATGAATGGCAAAAGCAAGGCGATTAACCAGGCAGTTTCACTTCCCTGTAATTCCCTGCTAGGAAGGACGTCAAACAGGGTGTGTCTGTCTCAGTGGTAGGGAGAGAAAAGTAAAGGGAAAGAACTCAAAAAGAAGGTTAATGCTGAGAACTGTACAGGAATTAGGGAAGGATGGGGCTACCATCCAGCTGGGATTAGGAGGGGCCAAACCAATGATCAGAATCCAGATACTTAGAATCATAGAATATCAGGGTTGGAAGGGACCTCAGGAGGTCATCTAGTCCAACCCCCTGCTCAAAGCAGGACCAATCCCCAATTAAATCATCCCAGCCAGGGCTTTGTCAAGCCTGACCTTAAAAACTTCTAAGGAAGGAGATTCTACCACCTCCCTAGGTAACACATTCCAGTGTTTCACCACCCTCCTAGTGAAAAAGTTTTTCCTAATATCCAACCTAAACCTCCCCCACTGCAACTTGAGACCATTACTCCTTGTCCTGTCCTCTTCTACCACTGAGAATAGTCTAGAACCATCCTCTCTGGAACCACCTCTCAGGTAGTTGAAAGCAGCTATCAAATCCCCCCTCATTCTTCTCTTCTGCAGGCTAAACAATCCCAGCTCCCTCAGCCTCTCCTCATAACTCATGTGTTCCAGACCCCTAATCATTTTTGTTGCCCTTCGCTGGACTCTCTCCAATTTATCCACATCCTTCTTGTAGTGTGGGGCCCAAAATGGACACAGTACTCCAGATGAGGCCTCACCAATGTCGAATAGAGGGGAACGATCACGTCCCTCGATCTGCTGGCTATGCCCCTACTTATACATCCCAAAATGCCATTGGCCTTCTTGGCAACAAGGGCACACTGTTGACTCACTTGCCTGTGCCCTTATCCTGGGGTCTCACTGGGACTTCATTCTAGGGAATCTTACTTCCCATCCATGCTCCCTCTGCTTCTGATGCACCGGGGTTAGCACCACTGGGAGCCCTAATGTAGGCAAGGCTCTGGCAGCTTCCTGTGTTGTCATCACCCTGTCAATGAACCTGCTCAGTCAAGGCACTGACTGGCCCCATATGCGCCCCCTCCGCCCCCCCGGTTCAGTCAGTGGCAGAGTCCGGAACTCCCGGCCCATACGCTCCATTTGGACCATGATGCCTCAAGCCGAATCTCCAGCCAATCGGCTGCGGTTAGGCAATGTGCAGGGTCCCCAGAAGAGCTTGTGTCAGTGCACGGTGGGTGCAGAGCTCGTCTGCCTCTGGCCCCACTGTGCTCAGCTTGTCTTTCTGCCGGAAGATGCTCATTGCGTTTCGTGCCCGGGGTGATTCTTGGAAGGGAAATGGCCTTGCAGTCTCTGGCCAATAGGAAACGCAAAGCAGGGCTTCTAGTCTTCCGAATTTCCCTCTAAATGGCTGCACATCAGGCCCTTTGGGAGCATCTTGTGGGACTCGACGGTAGCAGAATTCACGTGCTGCTGCTCCGCACCGGCCTCGGTTCCAGCCTGAGCCTTTCCCCCTCTCTCCCTGTGCACGCAGTATGGAATCGTTCTGGACGCCGGCTCCTCCCACACTGCCATGTTCGTCTACAAGTGGCCTGCGGACAAAGAGAATGACACGGGGATTGTCAGCCAGCACAGCATGTGCGACGTGGAAGGTAGGAGTCAATTAATTGCTTGTGCTACGTCACCTGGCTCTGTAGTGGGCGCTGTCTGGGTACTGTTGGCGACTTCAGACTGGCTGGGCTGGGCCTGCTTCTTGTCTGGCTTACATCAGTGTAACTCCATTGACTTCAGTGCCGTTGCTCCTAATTCTACCCCATGGTGAGAGAAGAATCAGGCTAGTGACTTTTACAAGCCTTGTAATTCACAGTGCCTTCCCTGCCAAACTATAGGTTATTAGGGTTGCCAGGTGCCCGGTTTTGAACCAGAACACCCGGTTGAAAAGAGACCCTGGCAGCTCTGGTCAGCACACCCGACCGGGCCACTAAAAGTCCGGTTGGCCACAGCGGGGTTAAGGCAGACTCCATACGCGGGGTTAAGGCAGACTCCATACGCGGGGTTAAGGCAGACTCCATACGCGGCTCCGTGCGGCTCCCAGGAAGCGGCCGGCATGTCGGCTCCAAGGTGGGGGGGTGGCCAGTGGAGCTCCATGCGCTACCCCCACCGGCAGGCGCCACCCCGAGCGCCGGCTCCGCAGCACCCATTGACCAGGAACGCCATGGCCAATGGGAGCTGCAGAGCCAGTGCTTGGAGCTGTGCCTGCAGGTGGGGCAGCACACACAGCCCCCCTGGCCACCCCTCCACCTAGGAGCCGGACATGCTACCACTTCCCAGGAGCCATGCAGACTTCCTCTGTCCCCAAGAAATGCGGGGGCAGCACTGGTGTAGCTGCTATTTAAGGGGCCACCTGAGGTCAGCACCTCAGTCCCGGAGCCCCCGCGAACCACAGCAGCCAGAGCTGCCTGGAGCCCGTACCCCAAACCCCGTCCTGCACACATTCCATCTCCCACATTCAAACTGTTGCAGCTCCTGGCCTTCTCTTGATGCCTGCTTGTGCCTTGCAGAGAAATTGAGCGAGGGTAGGGGAGAGCAAGCAATCAAGGGAGTGGGGATGGAGTGAGCAGAGGTCAGGGCCTCGGGGCAGGGGCGGGGAAAGGGTGTTGGGTTTTCCGCAATTAGAAAGTTGGCAACCCTAAAGGATTATTGTGATGAAGAATTAGAGCTGGTGGAATAACCCAACATCCCCAGGGAGTGGGACTGAGTCTGTTTTACTGAAGTGTCTGTGTTGTGCCATGGTTTTCATCTCTACCTTATAAGGTCAAATTCTGGATTTAGTAGATGTGGGCTCCATTGATTTCAATGGGGTTACACCGCTTGGGCCACCAGCAAATTGGATGCAGAGCTTACTTGGCCACTACCTTGTGCCATTGCTTATAGCAGTGCAGAGTGGTAACAGATCAAAAATGACAGCCACAAATGACCACACAAGGTGCAAGACAGAAGAGAATTGGGCCCAGAATTGTACTAGATACACTGGCTGTTATGGAACTATTTGATTTGTTACCCCACCTGGACATAAGGGAGGTGAGAGCAGCGTTCTGGAGAGTGGTTTTAGAGTAGCAGCCATGTTAGTCTGTATCAGCAAAAACCACGAGGAGTCCTTGTGGCACCTTAGAGACTAACAAATTTATTTGGGCGTAAGCTTTCATGGGCTAAAACCCACTTCATCAGGTGCATGGAGTGGAAGATACAGTAGCAGGTATATTTATACATAGTACATGAAAAGATGGGAGTTGCCTTACCAGGTGGGGGAGTCAGTCTAACAAGACAATTTATCAGTACAATACCAAGGGAGGAAAAATCACTTTTGTAGTGGTAAAGAAGGTGGTCCATTTCAAACAGTTGACAAGAAGGTGTGAGTAACAGTAGTGGGAAATTAGTATGGTAAAATTAGGTTTTGTAATGACTTATCCACTCCCAGTCTTTAGTCAGGCCTAATTTGATGGTGTCCAGTTTGCAAATTAATTCCAGTTCTGCAGTTTCATGTTGGAGTCTGTTTTTGAAGTTTTTTTGTTGAAGAATTGCCACTTTTAAGTCTGTTATTGAGTGACCAGGGAGGTTGAAGTGTTCTCCTACTGGTTTTTGAATGTTGTAATTCCTGATGTCAGATTTGTGTCCATTTATTCTTTTGCGTAGAGACTGTCCAGTTTGGCCAATGTACATGGCAGAGGGGCACTGCTGGCACATGATGGCATATATCACATTGGTAGATGTGCATGTGAATGAGCCCCTGATGGTGTGGCTGATGTGGTTAGGTTCTATGATGGTGTCCCTTGAATAGATATGTGGACAGAGTTGGCAATGGGGTTTGTTGCAGGGTTTGGTTCCTGGGTTAGTGTTTTTGTTGTGTGGTGTGTAGTTGCTGGTGAGTATTTGTTTCAAGTTGGGGGGCTGTCTGTAAGCGAGGACTGGCCTGTCTCCCAAGGTCTGTGAGAGTAAGGGATCGTCCTTCAGGATAGGTTGTAGATCTTTGATGATGTGCTGGAGAGGTTTTAGTTGGGGACTGTAGGTGACGGCTAGTGGCGTTCTGTTACTTTATTTGTTGGGCTTGTCTTGTAGTAGGTGACTTCTGGGTACCCTTCTGGATCTGTCAATCTGTTTCTTAACTTCACCAGGTGGGTTTTGTACTTTTAATAACGCTTGATAGAGATCCTGTAGGTGTTTTCTCTGTCTGAGGCATTAGAGCAAATGCAGTTGTCTTAGAGCTCGGCTGTGGACAGTGGTAGATGTGGTCTGGATGAAAGCTGGAGGCATGTAGGTAAGTATAGCGGACAGTAGGTTTCTGGTATAGGGTGGTGTTTATGTGACCATTGCTTATTAGCACTGTAGTGTCTAGGAAGTGGATCTCTTGTGTGGACTGGTCCAGGCTGAGGTTGATGGTGCGGTTGAAATTGTTGAAATCCTGGTGGAATTCCTCAAGGGCCTCCTTCCCATGGGTCCAGATGATGAAGATGTCATCAATGTAACGCAAGTAGAGGAGGGGCGTTAGGAGACTAGAGCTGAGGAAGCGTTGTTCTAAGTCAGCCATAAAAATGTTGGCATACTGTTTTGGAGATTGAGGATTTAGGGTGTGGGCTGAGCAGTCCTAACGGCCGAATCTTTGATACAGCCAAAGCCTGGGCAGAAGATTTGAGCTGAGCTTCGTTATGTTGTTGCTAATTTCCTGGAGTTTGGCTTTCATTAACCAAGACGGGATTTTAGAACACACTGTGGATGGTCTTGGTTTTAAAACAGAATGATAAAGGTACCTGCTCCCAGGGCTGTGTATACGAATGGGGTATACAGGGTTCACCAGCACTCATTTGGGATGATCCACATAATTCACTCAAGTCTCTGCCATTTGTGAGTCATACAGCAATCCTGGACCCATCCTGTGTAAGTCTTTATGCCAGGCTGCCTTGTGTGCCCTAGCCAAACAGCACCACGCTCCTCGGGTGTTTGTGGCTCTCCCAGACGTGCACGCACCGGCAGAAGCACATGCCCCATCGCACGCTAATGCTGATGCCAGACATTTGGCCCCTCAAACCTTTTCCCCTCCCACTCTGCATTTGAGGAGTGGACCTCAGAACTGCAACGATCATCTCTGAGCCTCACCCATACCACAGCCAAAATCCAGCCTGCATCATTTCCATGCCCATCATCCCAGGATAAGGTTGAAAATATCCCCCACCCCCTCTCTGCGTGGCACTCTGTCCCCTCTAGTAGTGACTGGGCCACATACAGAGATTCATGAGCCTGCAACAGGGCGGTCTGCAGAGCTGGGTCTCTTAGCTCTGGCAGTAGGGCCATGGTTTTAGATCACGAGGTCCCAGGTTCGATTCCCCACACTGTCAACAACCTCCCCTCCCTCCCGGGTCATAGAATCATAGAATATAAGGGTTGGAAGGGACCCCAGAAGGTCATCTAGTCCAACCCCCTGCTCGAAGCAGGACCAATTCCCAGTTAAATCATCCCAGCCAGGGCTTTGTCAAGCCTGACCTTAAAAACCTCTAAGGAAGGAGATTCTACCACCTCCCTAGGTAACGCATTCCAGTGTTTCACCACCCTCTTAGTGAAAAAGTTTTTCCTAATATCCAATCTAAACCTCCCCCACTGCAGCTTGAGACCATTACTCCTCGTTCTGTCATCTGCTACCATTGAGAACAGTCTAGAGCCATCCTCTTTGGAACCCCCTTTCAGGTAGTTGAAAGCAGCTATCAAATCCCCCTCATTCTTCTCTTCTGCAGGCTAAACAATCCCAGCTCCCTCAGCCTCTCCTCATAACTCATGTGTTCCAGACCCCTAATCATTTTTGTTGCCCTTCGCTGGACTCTCTCCAATTTATCCACATCCTTCTTGAAGTGTGGGGCCCAAAACTGGACACAGTACTCCAGATGAGGCCTCACCAATGTCGAATAGAGGGGAACGATCACGTCCCTCGATCTGCTCACTATGCCCCTACTTATACATCCCAAAATGCCATTGGCCTTCGTGGCAACAAGGGCACACTGCTGACTCATATCCAGCTTCTCTTCCACTGTCACCCCTAGGTCCTTTTCCGCAGAACTGCTGCCTAGCCATTCGGTCCCTAGTCTGTAGCTGTGCATTGGGTTCTTCCGTCCTAAGTGCAGGACCCTGCACTTATCCTTATTGAACCTCATCAGATTTCTTTTGGCCCAATCCTCCAATTTGTCTAGGTCCTTCTGTATCCTATCCCTCCCCTCCAGCGTATCTACCACTCCTCCCAGTTTAGTATCATCCGCAAATTTGCTGAGAGTGCAATCCACACCATCCTCCAGATCATTTATGAAGATATTGAACAAAACCGGCCCCAGGACTGACCCTTGGGGCACTCCACTTGATACCGGCTGCCAACTAGACATGGAGCCATTGATAACTACCCGTTGAGCCCGACAATCTAGCCAGCTTTCTATCCACCTTATAGTGCATTCTTCCAGCCCATACTTCCTTAACTTGCTGACAAGAATACTGTGGGAGACCGTGTCAAAAGCTTTGCTAAAGTCAAGAAACAATACATCCACTGCTTTCCCTTCATCCACAGAACCAGTAATCTCATCATAAAAGGCGATTAGATTAGTCAGGCATGACCTTCCCTTGGTGAATCCATGCTGGCTGTTCCTGATCACTTTCCTCTCATGCAAGTGCTTCAGGATTGATTCTTTGAGGACCTGCTCCATGGGTCGTGTCATTACAAACATGCTGCAGTAGCTCTGTGTACTTCAGGCTTGTCAGCTGTGCTTGGCAAAGGATGGGTCCCTCCCCTCAGCTCCCCTTGTGAATGTCGGGACATGGGCCTGGAACATGGCAAACAATTCGGTCAAGTCCTCTCGTCCGTACACCTTCTCTTGGCACTGAGCTGCTGGCAGGGGCTGGGTTGCCCATGCTTTATTAAACCAGGCATTGAACTCAGCCACTCCATCCCCTGCAGCCTGTTCCCGGAGCTCAGCTGAGAGAGAGGCTAGCGTGTGTGTCTGGGGAGCGGGGAGGCAGGTGTGACACCTCTTGTCCAGCACATCTGGGAATCCCAGGGTCAGAATGGCCTGGAGTCCTGTCTGCACTGGACTGTCTAAGTGAGTCTGTAACCACGCGGTGATCCAGCTGCCTGTAGTCCCTGTGTACTCTGCATGGGCCATGTGGTCCAAACCTGCAGCCGGATGGAGCTTTGATCTGGCCAGGATGGAGGCTGGCACCATTCCCGTCCTGTCCCCGATTAAACTCACAGCTTCCGTACTGCGTAGCTGGGCCTCCTAACCGGGCCTGTGTTACCCAGTCAGCTGGGCCTTCTTTCTCCCAGCCCTCTGTGCAGTAGGATGACCCAGGGTGCATCGCTCCAGGGGCTGCCACTGTGCTTATAACATAGGTGGAGCTGTAGGAGGGACGCTGCTGTATACGGTGCATTTTATCCTATGGCTCCGCTCATGCCAGCCAGAGATCCTCTCCCAGAATCCTCGGGGTGACAGCCACCTTTAAGCATGGTCATTGCTAGCATGGGGCTGAATCCTGCCATGCCACGTGGGACAAACCCGTGAGCTCTGACTGCCTGGCCTAGGGTTGAACTCCTGGGAACGAGAGGGAGGGTGGCTCCCCTTGCCATCTGCCCGAGCCGGGGTTCCCCTGGTTCAGCCTGGCTTTCAGCTGGCGGGGGATTTTGTGTTGGCTGGAGAGCAGAAGTGGCTGTATTGTTTGGACGTTGGAATGGCTAATCCCAGCCCTTGTTATATGTGCCTGGGCGTGACACGATGGGCACAAAATAACCCGACTGAAGTAGAGGATTGTGCCGACTCACCCACAAGCCTGGGTGTGTTTTCCCTTCCCACCTTCTCAGCTGTGTGTGTACAGCTGCAAAAACCCAGCCAAGGCTCCACCACGCCGGCCCTTTGACCAGTCTGGAGAGAACGGAGCTGCCTTACAGTGAGGAAAGCCCCGTGGTCCCCTCCCTAAAAGGAGCTGGCACAGGCTTGGGAAGAGGGCACAACCCCCCCACCCCACCCCGGCTGCCCCTACTGAAGAAAGAGAACAAATGGGATTGGCTGGAGTATGCAAGCCAAGACCACCCATGCTGCGTGCTGTGTTTGCATAAGGCCCATGGTGGGCTCCCCATCCTGGGGGACGTCTTTTGCTCCCCCGCACCATCCCTGCAGGAGGGTTTGGGTCACAGCTGTCGTGCGGGTGGAGGCTAGGGGCGCCTCTTGGGGTGCGCCTCTGCTGGGGCAGCTGGCCGGTTAGAGCCACAGTCGCTCTCCATCCCCGCACTCCCTTCCTGGCCCGGCAGTTGCTGATGCTCAGCACAGCTCCCCAGTTCCTCAGCATGCCCCTGGACCAAGCGGCCAGAGACCAGTGCCCGTTTTCATCTCGCCTGCAGGTGGTGGGATTTCCAGCTATGCCGAGGACCCCCCGGCCGCCGGCAAGAGCCTCAAACAATGTCTCGACCAGGCTGTGAGCGACATCCCCAGGGAAAGGCATCCACTCACCCCCCTCTACCTGGGGGCCACCGCGGGCATGAGGCTGCTGAAGTGAGCTTTTGCTGTCGTCTGCTGTCGAACCCCCTCCCTCTTGCCAGGGCCCGAGCCAGGCCAGGGCTCTGGTCTTTAAAGGGGATGTGCTTGGGTTAAACTCTTCCACCACCCATCTGTGCAGCCCTGTTGCCTGGAGAGGCACGGCTGAGCACGGGAACATGTGAATTGTCACCCTTGGTCCATCTGGCTCAGCGCCTTGTCTCCAACCGCCCGAGCCCATCAGCTTCCTGAGAGGGGGCAGGGAGCCCCCCAGTGGACATTAATGGAATAACTGGCCCATAGGAGAAGTTTCTTCCTGACCCGGGAAGTTACAGGTTGGACCTGCCCTGGTGCAGGAGGGTTTATCATCCCTATAAAAATGTTTTGCTCCAAATATGTCCCTGGGTTTTCTCCTCCATAAAGGTGTGATCCTTTTTCAAATCCTGCAAAGTGCATGTTCTACGTTATTGCAAATGGACCCCAGAGGGGTTAGATCTGTTGCTCTATTGCCTGGAAAGGGTGGTGTGGAGAATAGGCTAGACCAGCACAGGGTCCTCCACCTCTCCTTTTCTGTAAGGGGAAGCTGGGTGGAGTTAGAAGTTCTCCCCTTCCTCATGAGTCCCGCAGCCCTACCTGGGCCCCTGGGTCACCTTGTCCAATGCAGGATAAATATCCTGCATTAGATCTGCACGGATGGGGGAGCCACATGTCCCCACCCAAGCAAGAAGCCCATCTAACCATGGCTCACAGGAAGGAAGGAATGAACCTTCTCTGGCCAATGCAGGCTTATGAATCAACGCTTCTCCCCACCCTGCCCTAACGCAGCAAGGGCGTTGCCCAGTCAGCAATAGTGGAGGTAAGCGTAGAATGCCTGCCAGACGAGCAATGGCAAGACCCTGGCTGGTGCCTGTCTGTAATGCCGGCAGGAGGGAATGACGGCCAAGGCAAGCACTAGTCCGGCTGAGGGGCTCACTCAGTCTTCCATGCTGTACTGGGGAGAAGAAACTGAACTGAGATTTTGTGGCTCGGGTCCCGCGTGGAAACGTAGAGACCCTCCAGGTCTGTGACTAGTTCAGCCCTGTGCAGCGTGACAGCTCCAGGTCTGGGCACTATTTAAGTCCCACCTAAGCCCCGTGCAGTGGCCGGTTTCACTGTTGAAGGGGGCTCGGGCAGCCTTTCTCCTGGATTGCTGAAGCGATGCTTGCTTGGTCCCTCGTATGCCATAGCTGTGGCATGCATTAGAATAACCACTGCCTTTCATTGCCCTCTGAGGGAGGGAGGTTGCAGAGCTGTCTCCCTTTGCCCCACGTTCCACGGCCCTGACGGTGCTGGGTGGTTTGGGGAGTTGCTCACGGTTTGATCCCCTTGGTGCAGACATTTGCTTCTTTTCTCTCACAGTGAAGCATTGCTTTGTGTCTCCTGTAGCCTCACCAACTCGACGGCCTCAGACAGCATCCTCAGCGCAGTGACCTCAACGCTGAAGTCGTACCCCTTTGACTTTCGGGGGGCAAAAATTCTGTCGGGTGAAGACGAGGGGTTGTTTGGCTGGGTCACAGCTAACTATCTCCTGGAGAACTTCATCAAGGTATGCCCAGCAGGACTGGCTTCCTAGGACGGTCCCTTCCAGTGCCCATCGAGACATGGACTCACCCCATCATTCGCCTGCAAGCCTGTCTACTCCACACAGGTAGCTGGCATAGCGGGGAAGAGAAAAAGCCCATTTCTCCATGGCTGCCTCATTACCTAGGACCTAGGTTTTCCTCTTTAAAAACAGCTACCTTGTCCCTTGCATAGGCAGAGTGCTGCTGAGAGACTTCCGCTTTGTGGAGACCACTGGGCCAGAGATGTGAATTCACCCCCTCCTCCTGTATTCACTGCACTGAGGTGGGAATGCCAAAGCCCTGTTGAGACCACTTGAAAGGCTAGTGCTATTAAGCAGAGGGTCTGACACATGCTTGTGGTCTGGACCCTTTTTAATGCTGCCTCTTGGAGGTGGGGACACCAATGCTGGCCCTTCTCCGTAGAGCATCAGGAGAGCTGCATGTTAGAAGCCTCTGCAAGTGCCAGGTGTTATTAATGTTAGCGGCCAATGGCAGCTGTTGTTCAGATGCGCAAACAAGTTGAATGACTCTACGTGTCGGTCAGATACCACGGTGATGGGCAACCCTCTAAAAACCTAGCTAGGGACGCTGTGGCGCATGGCCTGGGTTTGCTGTATAGAAGTAGCAAATAGCCCAGGTCTCTAGCCAGCCTCGAGGAGAACAGTGGGACCTGATCCTTGCAGTGAACATGAAGGGGCTGGATTTTCCTTCCACCTTCCCGGCATTGGTCTCATTCAGTTCCCAGCAGCGACTGATTCTCTCCAGTGCCCATGGGAATCTGGAGGCTGCTTTTAACATAGCCCCTGGTGGATCTGCTCACGGAACGTCCATCTTGAACTGGGTAGAAATGCAGAGGTCTCCCTCACCAGTTCAGCAAGGAAAACTGGGATCAGCTTCATGCCCGGAGACTGCTCCATCCATTCTGGAGCTGCAGTTAGGGAGCGGGGGAGTACCCAGCACGTGCTGTTGGCTCAGCCATGGAGGTGCAGTGGAGACAGAGGGTAGGAACCTGCTGGGATCAAACTGTCCCCCTGCTGCATGCATGCAGCTCCTGCTGCCTTCAACGGGAGCCGACCATGCGCGACTGAGAGGCCTGCAGTGACATGTACGCAGCTACTGGGACTTGCAGAATGCCTTGCCTGGCCCCAGCCTTAGGCAGAATGACCTCTTGGGGTTCTTGTGTCTAAAGGAAGCTACTGACCATGAGCCAGCCCCTCTTCCTTCTCCAGCAGGGACCCTCCTCTGCAAGCTATTGCGCCCCATGGCAGCAGGGTGCTGAGCCCCCTCACCCCAAGAGAGGTCAGTGAGTGTGGACGGTGCTCACACCTTGCTCGACTGTGCCCTACCAGTTTGCGGCTGGCAGGAGCGCTGCCAGCCGGTGCAGGATCGGGCCCTGCGTGGATCGTTGTGCTCCTTTAGCACCGGCATCTTGTTCTGAAGCCAGCCAAGAGCGGACGGGCATCCTGCATGGTCTGAGCCACGCAATTAACCATCTCTGTGACTTTGCTTCCGTCCCCCTTCCCCACAGTACGGCTGGATCGGGCAGTGGTTCCGGCCAAAGAGACCCACATTGGGGGCCATGGACTTGGGGGGAGCCTCTACCCAGATCACCTTTGAAACCCAGAAGCGGATCGAGGACCCCCAGAGCGGGGTGACGCTGCGGCTCTACGGACAGACGTACAGGGTGTACACCCACAGCTTCCTGTGCTACGGCAGGGACCAGATCCTCAGGAGGATGTTCTCCAAGGTCATGAAGGTACAGAGGCCTGGCTCTGCCCCAGCGGGCTCTCCTCAATGGCCTGCAGGGCGAGCTCCCAGCATTCATCCCCGCTCCCTCCTCAACCACCAGCCCCCCACGCCATGTTCCCACCCAGGCTGCTACACACAGGGCTCCGGGTTCAGGTCACCAGGTGCTTTGCAAAGAGCAGGGAGGGTGCTTGCCCCGCTCTGGAGCATGTTCTGCTCCTCTCCCCCCGATCCCCACGTCCCCACAACCTGGAGCAGCAGTAGTGAACGGCAGCTCGTTAGCGGGGAGCCAAGGCTCAGCCTGTTACAACCCATGCTGAGGGGCCTAGAATTCCCGACGGAGCAGGGAGGGCTCAGCCGGGTGCCCCCTATGGGCGCTACAGCAGCATAGCTAGGGTGCCCGAGTGCAGACGCACACGACAGCGACCAGAAGGGCTTTTCCCCTCGCCATGGGAGCGCCACCCCCCTGAGCGATAGGAAATGCTCACGGCTCTGTTATCGCCCTCCCAAGGATGGAGGCTGAGCTCCCTTCACGGGGTTTGAACCTGGGGGCTGAGCTCCCTTCACGGGGTTTGAACCCGGGGGCTTCGAAAGTCTGGGAATTTCAAACATGCTCTGCAGCCTCCCCCATGCGACTGGTGCTGATGCAGAGCCGGGCACGGTGCACATCACGCACGTTAGTTCAACTCCTTTGGTGCTCTGGAAGGGACCCCTGAGGAAAGCCAGGTCTCCTCCCCGCTGCTCTTTGTTGCCGGCATAGGCTGTGCCAGTTAGGAGTTACTCATCTTCCGGGGCTGAGCTGCCACCTCCCTGCCTTCAGAGACAGCCATGGACACATAGGGTTGGACACTATCTTGTCAGAGCACCATCACTACTGAAACCTTGCAGCCCCTGTGAGGGCGGATCCCCCTGTTTTACGGCTGGGGAAACTGAGGCATGCAGCAGGGACATGATTGGCTCACCGTGATGCACGGTGGATCAGGGGCAGAACTGGGGGGCAGTGTTTCTGAATGCCAGTCCTTGACTCCACCCACTACACCGCACTGCCTGGCCCTAGACCGCCTCATGGCTGTGGTAGCTGCAGACAAAGACAGGCTTGGGTGGTACCTTTTCTTTGCCCAACAGGCTGGCAGCTACAAAACAAATGTGTCCAACCCCTGCTGGCCCAAAGGCTATCAAAGGAACTTCCCGCTCCAAGACGTCTACAACTCTCCCTGCACGGCAGCTGAGAAGCCTGACAGCTACGATCCCCAACGTACCATCGGCATGGACGGATCCGGGGACGCGGCCCAGTGCCGCCTGCACGTGGACAGTCTCTTCAATTTCACCAGCTGCGGCTTCTCCAGCTGCTCCTTCGACGGGGTTTTCCAGCCCGACCTCTCGGGAAACTTCATTGTAAGTGTCCCGAGGTTGCAGGTCTAGTGGGCAGCCGGCAGCCTCTGACTGTTGGTGCTGCCTCCAGGGTATTGTGCATGGGGCAGCCCAGAGTCTCCTACTGAATGCTATGGGAGCCCCTTCTATCCTGCAGCTGGAGAATTAGGCTCCAGGTGCAAGGAGGTTGCTGGAATGGGAATGGGGCCTTGGGTATGCTCAGCGCAGTGGTTAGCAGCAAGAGCGCTGCCCCCTGCGGGTGAGATGAATATACCCCAAACTCTGCTCCCACATTGAATCAACAAGCCCGGCCTTTGTGTCTGAGCAGGGAAATTGAGGGCTGTGCTAGTGAGCTTCTGCTTTCTCACCTCCTCTCTCCCTGGCATCAGGCCTTCTCTGCCTTCTTCTACACGGTGGATTTTATCCAGACAGTGATGAAGAGACGCGTGGCCTCGCCAGATGATCTTAACGCTGCTGCCGAAGCCATCTGCAGTGCCAGCTGGACCGAGGTGAGTGCCCTGGCAGCAGAGGGCTAGTCTAATGGGTGTCAGACGATCTAGGAGGCCAGCCTGGATTTCCGTGCCCTATAGGCCTGCAGCCAAAATAGCATGGGCTGTGGATCCTGTTATATGTCACAAGCTCCAGGACTGGGCTAGGATGTCTCCAACCCCTTGGTATTGCAGTAGGGCTGCCAACATTGTATTTCAAAAATATAGGACAGATCTCAGATGTCCTCAGTCTCGACTTGAACCTCTGGGGGCAATTCCCTTCCATCCCCACCATGCCCCACAGACTGGCTCCCCAGTGGCCAGCTCCATCCCCTGCCTGTTGGGGTTCACCTGAAGTGGTGGGCCAGGGACCAGCGGCAGCATGGCATGGGTGGACGTGGGCAGCTGGCTGGTGGCTGAGCAGAGAGGCAGCAGGTCCAGATTGCACTGCTCTGCCTCCTTCCCCTGCCACACTGTGGCCAGGCTGGCTCGGTGCCTCGTCCTCAACTGGCAGGCCAAGGTCAGATGGGGGAGGAGACCATGTGTCCCTTCACCCCCACTCAGATGCCTCCACTCCTCCCATCCCCGTGTGTCCATCCACCCCCACTCAGCCACCCCCACTCCTCCCATCCCCATTTGTCCTTGCACCCCCACTACCCGCTGTCCCCACTAGGGTTGCCAACCCTCCCAATTTCACCGGGAGTCTCCTGGAATCAGGCCCTATCTCCCAGAGGCTACTGATGCCAAACTGGGAGATTTTAGATGCTAAAAGTCCGGAGGCGCAGCAGGGCTAAGGCAGACCAATGGGAGCTGCAGAAACAGAGCCTGCAGGCAGGGACAGCACATGGAAACCCCCTGCCTCCTCCAGGGGCCACAGGGACATGCGCCGACTCCACAGCTCTCATTGGCCAGGGAACTGTGGCCAATGGAGCTGCTGGGGTGGTGCCTGTGGGCTGGGGCAGCACGTGGAGACCCCTGGCCCTGCCGCCTAGTAGCCGCTGCTAGACAGATGTGCCTGTCACTTTCAGGAGCTGCCCAAAGTAAGTGCCACCCCCCTCACCTCAACCCCCTGCCCCAGCCTACGTCCCGCACCCAAAATCCCTCCCAGAGCCTGACCCCTCACCCCCTCCTACACCCAAACTCCCTCCCAGAGCCCACACCCCCTCCTGCACCTCAACTCCCTCCCTCAGGCTCAGCCCAGAGCCCCTTCCCACACTCCAAACCCCTCAGCTCCACACCTCAAGCCCAGATCCTGCACCCCGTCCCGCTCTCCAACCCCCTGCCCCAGCCTGGTGAAAATGAGTGAGGGTGGGGGAGAGCGAGGGAGTGGGGGGTGGGGCCTCAGAGAAGGGGTGGGGCAGGGGTATGGCCATGGGGAAGGGGTGGGGCAATGGTGTTTGGGTTTGTGCGATTAGGCAGTTGGCAACCCTAGTCCCCATGTGGCCCTGCACCCCCACTCAACTCCAGGCTCAGTTTTGTCACCCACCAACTCCTGTGTCCCTGCCCGAGTCTGTCCCCCCGACTAGCCCTTATGAACCCATGTGCATGACCCCCCCCAGCACCCCTGTGTGCCCTGCTCTGTCCATCCGTCCGCCCCCCCCAACACACACACACACACATCCTGTGCCTCCTAACTGGCCTCATGGGCAGGGTGCTGTGAGGAAAGCAGCCTCTGCCCCCTCCATCTCCGCAGCTGTCTGCTCTGGCCCATGAGCCCGCTGCCCTGAGTAATGGGCTCAAGTTGCAGTGTGGGAGGCTTAGGTTGGACGTTAGGAAAACCTTTTTCACTAGGAGGGTGGTGAAGCACTGGAATGGATTACCTAGGGAGGTGGTAGAATCTCCTTCCTTAGAGGTTTTTAAGGTCAGGCTTGACAGAGCCCTGGCTGGGATGATTTATTTGGGGATTGGTCCTGCTTTGAGCAGGGGGTGGGACTAGATGACCTCCTGAGGTCCCTTCCAACCCTGATATTCTACAATTCGATGATTCTAGGAGGCCACAGCCGCCCCTGGTGGAAGAAGGTTGTAATTGCAGCTTCCCTGCGCCTCCCCATCCCAGATCCCCCTCCCTGTGAAGGGTCTATAACTGATTCTGATGGGCCAGAGCAGGGAGGACTCATCTCTTTTCTTTCTGTCCCCTCTTTCTTCCCCGTCCATGGTGGCCAGCTGTGGCTAAAAGCCCCAAAGCAGGAGAAGTGGTTGCCGGATTACTGCACGGTTGCCAACTTTGTTTATCTGCTGATCACCAAGGCCTACCACTTTGATGAGAGCTCTTTCCCCAACATCGCCTTCCAGAAAAAGGTTGGTATTTGGCCCAGATGGGGTCCCGCCATTAGCCAGGCTCTGCCATGCAGCAGCTGTCTGTCTCTCTCATTGTTTGCCAACATATGACATGGGGAAGCCCTAGTCTGATGGGTTTTGCCAGGATCCCTGCAGGAAATGAGCTTGAGTGAAGGCTTTTCGCAGGGACAGGGATCCTGACGGGTGCCCAGGTCGGACAGTTGCTTTTAGTTGAAATGGATGTTACTTCTGTGAGCTAGAGAAGATGCCTCAGAGGAGGAGAAATGGCCAATGGGACATTGTGGATGGTTCTCGGAAAACTTCCGTTCAGTGCACAGCAGCAGAAAGGCTGATGGAACGTTCGGGACTGTTAGGAAAGGGATAGAAAATAAGGCAGTAAATATCACAATGCCACGTTATAAAACCATGAATACTGTGTGCAGTTCTGGTCGCCCCATCTCAAAAAGGACATAGTGGAACTGGAAAAGGTTCAGAGAAGGGCAAAAAAGATAATCGGAGGTATGGAACAGCTTCCGTCTGAAGAGAGATTAAAAGGATTAGTGCTGTTCATTTTTGAAAAGAGATGACTAAGGCGGGATAAGATAGAGGTCATGAATGGTGAGAAGAAAATGAATAGAGAAGTGTTATTTACCTTTTTCCACAATACAAAAACCGGGGTCGCCAGATGAAATTAACAGACAACAGGTTTAATACAAACAAGAGGAAGGACTTTATCACACAACACACTGTTAACCTGTGGAACTCACTGCCAGGGGATGTTGTGATGGTCAAATGTATAACTGGGTTCCAAAAAGAACTAGATAAGTTCACGGAGGATAGGTCCATCAATGGCTAATAGCCAAGATGGTCAGGGATATAGCCCCATGCTTAGGGTGACCCTAACCTCTGACTGCCAGAAGCTGGGGCTAGGTAACAGGAGTGGATCTCTCCAGAATTGCTCTGTTCTGTACACTCCCCCTGAAGCTCTGTGACTGGCCACTGTTGGAGACAGGACACTGGGCTAGATGGACCATGGTCTGATCCAGTAGGGCTGTTCTTATGTTCTTAAACACCTCTTTAGCCTTGGGCGGGGAACAGGCCACATCGTGCTGAACTTCATGCGGCCTTTTCCCAGGGAGAAAATAACTCCTGACTACGGAGGATGTAAACTCAGCCCAGATTTCGATATCAGTTACTCTAGTGTAAAGCAGGATTGGCTCTACTGAGATCAGTGGAGTTACACTGGATTTACTCTGGTGTAAAAAAGATCAGGATCTGGCCTGCTGAGCCCAGTTCCTCTGTAAACAGACCACAGGGACGAAGAAAACAGGCAGCACTGCATAGGGAGCAGGGCAGAAGGAGGAGCCCTGCCCAGGAGCAGCACCAGCAGCTCTGTTCCACGCGCTCCCCTTATTCCTCAGGCGCCGCCAGGATGGCAGTAGCTGAGCGCTGGGCTGTGCACTGGCCTCTAGACCTGCTCCGTTCGGTTGCCTAAAGGCAGCAGGGTCCTGGGAATGGAGCAAAGGACGGGGACGCCTGGGTTCTATTCACCTCACTGGCTTGCTGAAGGTCAAAGGTCTTCTGGGCCTCCCGTTGCCCCACCTTGGCAATGCAGCTGGGCTTTGCCCACCGTTGTGAAGCCTTCCCAGATCTCAGGATCAGCGAGGGCTAAGAATTGATGATGATGAGAGAGACCAGGAGAGGGTCACTCACAGTAGCAGTGGAGGGAACAGGCAGGGCAATGGGTGATTCCCTTTGCTACTGCAGCTACTCCTAGCCTCTGAGGGTACATCCACACTGCAGCTAGACACCCGCTGCTGGCCCATGCCAGCTGGCTCACGGGGCCTGAGCTAAGAAGCTAACTGCGGTGTAGATGTTTGGGCTCAGGCTGGAGGCCTGGATCTAGGACCTTGCAAGGTGGGAGGGTCCCAGAGCTCAGGCCGGAACGTCTACACTGCAGTGAAACAACCCCTTAGCCCGAGCCCCTTAGCCCAAGTCAGCTGGCAGGGGCCCACCACAGGTGTCTGACTGCAGTGTAGACATACCCTCATGAGGCAATGTTACTAGCAAGATTCTGAGCTGCTTTGTCTTGCTGTTTTCACAGGCTGGGGACACTTCCATCGGCTGGGCCCTGGGCTACATGCTGAACCTCACCAACATGATCCCGGCTGACGAAGTGGGTTTCCGAAAGGGCACGAACTACAGCTCCTGGGTTGTCCTCATCCTCCTCTTCGTGGCTGTAATCCTGGTGGCACTGGTGACAGCGTTCTGCCTGCTCCGGTCCGGCAAGCAGCACCGCACCATGTAGGAGGTGGGCGGAAGAGGCCAAGAGACATGGCTCCCTGGAGTTGACATGAGCGCTACTGATCCTGGCAGGTGACCCAACATCCTACATGCTTCAGATGTGAGCGTTTCCTGGAGGCCCTGTCCCTCCCCGCTGCCTGTTTGTAGCCCCGAGGGAAACCAGTCCTGTTGCCTTTCTTTTGTCCCTGATTGGAAGCCGGAGAAGCGGACAGAAGAGGAGAACTGACACCCAGGGAGTTGCATGAGGAGCAAATGTAAATGGTTTCCTAGTGCATCCCCTTTGGTGCATCCTGGAGCAGCGTCAGAGCCTGGATAGCCAAATCCGGGGCATCCTCCTTTGCCTGCCAGCAGACGGAGACCAGACACAAAGTAAACGGACAGCAACAGCCAGCAGGCAACTGGCTCTGTGCAAAGGAAGGGAGGTTTTTATACTCACATCCAAGGGGGTGGGGTTCATGGTGGAGAGGGTTACTTACCTAAGCATCTCTGGAAGGCTTTTCCCTCCAGCCCCCCTACCTGGAGACCTGTCCTATCCCTTCCCGGGAATTTGTGACTTGTGGTCCTGGGTGTTATCCATGGACCTGCACTATCCTCCTTGAGCAAGGACCAAATCACAGCCCCCAGGAAGTCTCTGGGAGTTTGGCCATTGATCTCAGTGCTATTCGGCTCTCCCCAGGCCCGGGAAGCCCCTCCATCTCTGCAGAGCAGTGTTGCCCAGGACAGGCTCTGACAATCTGGGGGGGCTTCCACTCTTAGGACCACAACACAGTGTGTGGCCTCTTTTGTTTGTTTACAATTGGCGCTGCTCCTAGCCAATCCTGCCTGCCGAGGGGGAAGTTTTAAGATTTAGGGTGGGGGTGGAGCCTGAGCAGGTGTGTAATTCAACAGGGGGTGCCCTGGGTACCTTAGGGAGCATTGTAAACCATCCCCCTGGCATGATGGAGAAAATTCTCAGGGCTCCCTCGCACAGCCCTGAGACCTTCTCTGAGCTGCCAGCTAAGACACACCGGGGCAGGGCATGTTGAGACCCAAACCCTCCACCCCCACAGGGCCGGTGCAAGGAGGTTTCACACCCTAGGCGAAACTTCCAGCTTGCGCTGCCCCCCTTCCCCCACCCTGCGGCAGCTCCCCTCCGCCGCCCCCTCCCCTCGGCCCGGGGAGCCCCCCCGCAGCAGCTCCCCACCGCCGCCCCCTCCCCTCGGCCCAGGGAGCTGCATGCAGCAGCTCCCCATCCCAGCTCACCTCCGCTCCGCCTCCTCCCCGAGCACGCCACTGCTTCTCCCGCCTCCCAGGCTTGCGATGCCAAACCAGCTGTTTGGCGCACAAGACTGGGAAGGAGAGAAGCAGAGCGGGGCGGAGCTCAGGGGAGGAGGCGGAGCATAGGTGAGCTGGGGCGGGGAGCGGTTCCCCTGTGCACCCCCCCCCCCGTTACTTGCTGCAGGCGGCCCTCCCCGTGCCCCAGCTCGCCTCCGTGCCACCGCTCCCAACCACTTGGCACCCTAGGAGACCGCCTAGTTTGCCTAGTGATTGCACCGGCCCTGCACCCCCTGCCTGATCAGCCTGGGGACAGGGAGGGTCTGTCTTTAGTTCTAGATAAGATCAGACAGAGATTTGTGTGTTTTAATGATCACAAAAACTAACAACGTAACTATGTAAACCCACAGGAGGATTTTAGATGAAACAGCAAATAACCTTTGTTAAAGGGAAGCTACCCCGAGACAGCGGTAGGGTGGTGGAGACTGTATAACACTGAGCTCTTCCAAACGTTTCCTGAGGCAGAGCTCCGAGCTTGCAGCAGAGCTGCTGTGACTGGATGGGATTGCACCCCTTGTAAGGACAACAGGCAGCCTATGCGATAGTTATGCCTTTGGGGAGCTCAGTTGACGGTGTCACCTCTGTCGGGGGTTCTCAAAATATTGTGCGGCTTAGCCAAAGCACAGAGCTGGCACTTCTGTTTCTGAGTGCTGAAATACACACATTTCCAAAGAAGTGGAAGAGAAATTGCTGCTGATAAAATCCAGGTCAATATTTGAAAATTTGAAATGTCAAGACTGTGTAACATTCTCTTATCAGGATGGAAAGATCAGCTCTCTGCAGAGTAAGAGCTTATACTAAATATAATTGCACAGTGGTGAAATTATCACAAACTATAATCCCACTAATAAATTTATATCCTCAGTCTGTTCACTAAGCAGGTGATTTCACTACTCAGATGGTAGGGATGCTGCAGTTTGCCAGTCCAGTTACATGCCAATCAATTTAAGCAACAATGGAAGATCTATTCCAATCAGAACCGCAGGGATGGTGTAGGGAGAGTACACCCAGCAATAACTCTGCGATTACTGTTTGGAAGTTTAGACACTTAGTTACAAAAAATCAGTTTAAACCAAAATGGCCTTCCCCGCTACTCATAACCCAGAGCTAATCATCTCCTCCCTAAGTCCACAAATATTGAACGCTCGTACCACAGACTGACCCTCACTCTCTGCGTGACACAGTTTAATGTTGTTTCGAGTTTCTCCCCAATACACGTAACAAACATGATAGGAACTGCAGCCCAGGGGCCGGATTCCTGCGAATCCCTCTGCTGCTTTACTTTACACACGTTAAACCAGTGACGCTCTGTTGCTCTAAAAAAATTCACTTTCCGCTTCTGTATCCTTTGCCTAAGAAGTCATCGCTTTTTTGTAACCACATCCCAGGACGGGTTTTGGCTTTGACTGCGCTAAAGGGGGGTGCTCGGTCTCTAATTGCTTTAGTCTGCTGGGCAGCACAGGGCCAGTTCAATCAACTTTACAGCGAAGTCTTGAAACAAGTTTTGTGCCTCAGACCTTTTCAGTCACTGGCTGATTTTGATTCCTTCTGTGGCTCACCCCGGCTCAGCCCCATTTCCAGTGAGGAGATGGCGCTGTCCGAGGGCCAGCTCTTTAGCTGCCACTTTTAGCAAGCCAATCAGACAAACGGAGGCAGTTCTCTTGTGATTTGACAACTGGACAGCCGTTGTTCTGGGCGTATCTTCAGGACAAGAGAGTTCTTTACTTGAAACTCCAGTGTGGATTTTTCCAATGTGCAGTTCAGACCCAGTGAGATACCTACTAGGGACACCCTGTTTTTACTGACAGTGGGTGTTTTTTAACAAACCTCTTCATTTTCCTCAGGGGCTCTGGCCAGCCGCTGAGATGGCAAGTCCCCACCAATGACTGTCCCCTAACAAACAGGGCCAGCTTTGACTCTGCTCTTCAGACAATCTGGCCGCGTTCCTTGGACGGGTTGTAGACTTGGTCCAGCTCACTCCTCCAGATTACTTTTACAAAGGAGGGGATGACGCTGTGGGTGTCTTTACTCCTCCTTTGTAGACAACCCCATTCTGCAGCACAAACCCACATAGCGGGGCTGGCCATGCAAAGAGAAGTGGAGAACAGGAGGCTTCTCCCTGACCCATGGTAGCCAACGTTGGGTGATTACTTGCCCCTCACTGACTCCATCAGTTTGCCTCTCTTCTGCTCATGAAACTTTTATTAAAACAAGATGGAAATGTTATATTGTGTGTCTGGTTTGGGTTTTTTAAAAACCCGGGCCTCCTGCAAACAAGTGTCGACCAGAAAGTTGTCAAGAGACCCTCTTTCTTCTGGAAAGCCCTACTGAGCCAACGAGGGGCAGGTAAATACTTCACTGTTAGTTAGGAGGACGGGGGCAAATTGTCTTCATGGGTTACAGATGGGCCGTCATAAAGGTACCAAACGCCTAGACAGCCCACAGCAGACGTGTGTGTCAGGGCCAGGGAAAGGAGCTCTGAGCCAGGGGGTACAGAGTGGGCAAATGGATGGAGGTGGCTGATGCCCCTGCCATGGGAGTACAAAGGGCGTTGTAGCTCCAGGGGAGGGGGTTGTGAAGAGCTAAGTGGCTGCCCAGCTGGCAGAGCGGGACTTGGGCATTGGACCCTCCCTTCTAGGCCATGGAGAGAACAGGAAGTTCTGCATTGCCCTCGCCATGCTCGGAACACTTGCAGCTTGGCATTAAGACAATGAATTTAACCCAAGCTCATGCTTCAGGACTTCAACCAGCCACCTTCAGGGCTCAGGAAGGAATTTCTCCCCCACTGCTCCCCATGCACAAATGGTCAGATGCATGCTGGGGATTTTTCACATTCCTCTGAAGCATCTGGTATGGGCGACAAACAGCTGAGATAACCACCCCTCTGCGGTGGTATAATGACTCCTCTATTCCAGGAGGCTTGGCTGGCTGCTTGCCCCCATGCGCAGGGTTACACTAACGGCCAGATTTGGGGTCGGGAAGCAATTTTCCACCAGATCGGATTGGCAGGAACCTGGGTAGTGTTTTTCCTTCCTCTGCAGTGTGGAGCAAGGAATCTGTGGGCATCATCACCTGAATCAGTTTCCTGCTATTGCAGGGGCCTCGGTCCTCTCCGCCTGGGGCACATAAGAGTTTAGTCTCCTGAGGTTTGGAAAGGGGAGACGATATTTGGCTCTCATTTGGGTCAAACTGAATCTGGAGTGATTCAGCAGTGAGCTGTCTTTTCTCTCGAGTGGGTGATAAAGTAGGGCCCAGACAGGGTGAGTGATTTAGCCCAGCTCGTGAGATGCATTAGTGGCAGGGCTAGGACCAGAACCCAGGAGTCCTGCCACTGAGGTGCACTAGACCTTAGGGCTAGAGTGTTGCTGAACAGAGGCTGTAAGAGGAGGGCAGAGCCTGGCTGGAGCAGGAGGCCGATATCGGCGCAGCAGTGAGCATGGCACCAAGGAGCGGAGAGAAGGCAAGAGCAGCCTTGTGAAAAATAACGGGCACAAAATGCAGTGGGGAGGCCTGGTGGGGCAATCACAGATACAGCCCTGCTGGGAAATGGCCCCCTCAGTGCCCTGACGAGGGAGGGTCAGACCCAGACTGCTGTGAATTGGGGAAACTATGACCACGCCCACTGGGGGAGGAATTGTGAGCCCTGCATCTCTCCCCAGTCCTTCGAGGCTTCTTCCTGGGGGGAGCCAGGAACATGGGGGCAAAGGGTCTGCGTGAGCTCCAGAGAGGAGGTCACAGCAGGAACCAAGCACCCATCACGACGCGAAAGGGGGTGAAATTAACAGGCTGTGAATCCAGAGGCAGGAACTCCAGTCACTGGAATACAGCGCCTCGCATGACGGGGCCAACCTGGCCGCAAGCTGAATGCTGATACTTACAATCCAAACCAGTCAGTTAAACCTTTTGTTAAGCTTGTGAAGTCAAAAAATGCTGTACCTAGGGTGCCGGCGCAGCCTTTCTTTAGCCCTCGGCCCTATGTGTTAATGAACCGATCACCTAGCCTGTGTTCTACGGGGCCGTGCCTCATTCAGGGCCCAGGACAGGTGGCACTGGCTGAATGGGTTGCTAGTCAGTACCGCTGTTTACCCGCATTGGTCACGGTGTAGCCCCAGGCCTTATTTACTGCACACCATTCGAACCCGGCACGGCACGCAGGATTGTTAGTTTCCTCAGGGCTGTCTATGCTCCTCTCCTCATAGTTCTAGAGCTCGTCACACAGCATGATTAATTTTTCTTTACAACCCCCCTGTGGGGGGAGGGAAGCGTTAGCCTCCTTTTACACCTGGGGAACTAACACAGAGATTAAAGCACTTTACATGAGCAAAGCATCGCTTCCACTGACTTCACTGGCAGCTGGGAGGGCTCAGCCCTTCTGCAAATAAGACCCCTCTCCCCCTGGTCTCACACCGGGTACCACACAGTAGCCATCTCAGAAAATGTTGGTTTAAGTGACTTGCCCAACATCATACAGGAGCTCTGTGGCACAGGCTTGGCTAGAAGCCAGAGCTCCAGGACAGAGCCCGTCCTGCATCTTCCTGCAGATCCTGACCGTATTCACTAAACACCTTCCAGCCTCTGCAACAAATGCAGCAGGGGTCTCACAGACACTAGCCTCCTCCCTACACAACCCTGATTATTTTCCAGCAGATTCTGTGCACTGAATGAGGCTGGGGTCCTGTGGGGATAAAATAGCATGTGATCATGTGATTAACATCTTTAGCACAACGTGTGCACAAAAGGGAGAGATGTAAGGTTGCATGGCAAACCTTAATTCTGGCATTCCCCAACTTTTTTGAGTGCTTGACTTACAACCTTCATGTTCTTTCAGCATGGCTGTCACAGGGTGGCTGGCCTCTTTAAGGGAAGTCAGGGCCCTGCTCAGCCCACCTGTAAGTAAGTAACTGCCTAGGTGGCTTGCTGGCTAATGAGCCCCTGTACCTGACAAACTACCACCAAAGGTCAGTTAGAGAGGAGCTCCCAGGGAAAGGAACGTGGGGAAGAGATCTCGCTGCCAGCTGCAGGAGACGCAGCCTGGGTGCTGCTGGGAGGAGAGGTGCAGTCAGCCGGCAGGCCCTGGCTCCAGGGAAGGAATCCACGTGAAGATTGCCTGGCAGGTAAAGGGCTTGGATGAGGAACTGATAGACTCTGCTGGAGTCTGCTGCCCTGCTATGAACTCTGGTCTCTTGGATTTCCGTTAACAAATCAGACCCCCAGAAGGGGGCGCTGCTCAATGAATAAAACTCCTGCTGAGCCTATTGACAGCCCGAAGTGGGAAATGAAGGCAGGGCACAGCCACGGCACCATGCCTGGACGGAAGGGGGCGTTGGGGGGATGGCAGGTGCTCTTACCATTGCTTTTGGGCCGTAAAACTGGGATTGCACCAACCACTGTGTGGAAACTAGTTTATCAGGATTGTTCTGAGCCACTTTGAGTTCCACAGTGCAGTTTTCCCTGCAAAGAAGCCCTTAGGTGAGGTCTGGCTATGCTCCACGTTCCCTCCAGGCATGAGACTCCTCCCAAGGGGTGGGGGCTAGAGTTTCTTAAGTGTCGCTCTGCCTGCACTGGTGAATGCAGATCATGGAGCCCCTTTACTTGTCTAATCCAGGGGCTCAATTCTGGAGCCCCCGATTCTAACACCAGGTGCCGGGCTCTTGGTGTGGCATGTTGCTGCTATATCCCTCTACCCGCCCTTGTTCCTGGAGTCCACCTGCACATCTTATGCAGGCATCGAAGCGGTAGGTGCAGGCTGCAGGGGCGCTGACAGAGCTGGGCACGGGGTGCAGCCACGGGACGGGGGTGGCAGGTCTAAGACGCACTGATGGGGTTCTGGTACGCATGGCAGAGCCATGCTACTGTGCCGTATTTCCAATGGTCCGGTGCTCTCACGGGCCTTCTTCTTTCCTCCTCCCTGGTCTGGGTTTCCAAGAAAGGGAGCCTGGAGGTTGGACCAACAGCCAGAGGGAAAGGAGCAGCCAAGAGAGCCCAGCAGCCCAGGTTCCTTGCCATTCACCCCTTGTGTAAACTGGGTGGGTCTAGAAGGCAGGGGAGGAAGAGCAGACCCACACTTTTCACTTCAGGACAGGGGAGGAAGGAGCAGTGTGGGCTCAGAGCTGCAGGGGTCCTTCCTCCTCTCTTGTGAAAATGATATCGGCCAGACACCCTCCCCTCTGTGAACTCTCCTGTGGGGCGAAGGAGAGCTGGCCCGGTCGCAGGTGGTGTCCCTGACTGGCTGTCCTTCCCCTGGGGGCAGGAAGACCATGACAATCGGAAGGGCTAGACCCAGCATAAAGCACCTAGCCTAGGATAATGAGAACAGTGGCTACGACGCAAGAACAGAGCCCAGGAGTTAACAGACCATTACTAAGGTTGCAAAGCACGCCAAAGTTACAGTCGCCTGTTCAACCCGAATCCCCCACGCCCCCCAAGACCGTCTTTAATCACCTGCTCTCATGCTAGTTTCCACAGGACCCCTGCCTCCTTCGTTGCCGGGGCTCACTTCAGGAACAGCCAGCCTTCTCGCTGTGCAGTGGCCCTAGGCCTCTTCCCTGCACGCTATTCAGACCCTGCTCTGAAGATGAAATGACTAATTCATTTACACAGACAACCTTAGTTTAGGCTTTTCCAAACTTCCAAGCACTTGACTTTGCAACCTGACTATCCTCTCCACGTAGTTCTTGGGTAATATTGATGCAGGGCTCAGGGCGGGGGTCAGATGGCCTGATATGGACCCAGAACTCCCGCTAGTGCAGCGGTAAAGATGGGGGTGTCCTCTCTCCTAGTCAGTGAGGGTACAGGCTATTGATACTACTGGACGTTTCACGTGAGCACTGAGGGCAGAACAGACGCCCCAGGGCAGGGACAGGCCCAGCAGCGTGACTGGGATCCTCCAGCCCACTCTGGGGGATACCTGCCTCCCTGGGCATTTACATCAGCCTTTCCCCTGCAGTAGCTGCCGCCGCCCCCCCCACAGTGATTTCACATGCTACCCCCATACCTCCCCCTCTCCGACCACCCCTAAACTTCACTTTGTCCAAAATGTCCATTTTTAGCTATATATTTGTATTACTTTTCCAACCTTTGCTGCTCACACAAAGTCCGTCTGGGCTTTACACCCTACCTCCATCCCACCCTAAATCCTTCCCTGCACTTCCCCGAGCCTCATGAATCGGCAGTGGAGGGGACGTTTCTCGCTCCCCAGGTGTCGCAATGCAGCTCTAGCCCCGGTC